TCCAAATATACATATAATCCCCTCTTGCCCCCCACCCCCGGCCCTCCGTTGTAATTTTCATAAACGTGAGCTTGCTCATATTGTGAATCTCATAAAAAGGGATATATTTAAGTAACTGTCAATGAAACTTACTATATTAATTAGTTGATGATTAGCATAAAATTGTTGTTTTTTTTATGAATCTTCATAATACAAGTAATAATTGATGTGTGCTACAAGAATTTCTTCTTATGGTATAAATTACTATCCCTTTGATCAATTACACTATTAAAATTATTTGATTATATTTTTTAATTGATATAGAAGAGTACATTTTGTACGTACTTTTCGAATCTATTTGTACTAGCTACGACTCGTAAATATTAGCGAATTGGTTAGCGATTGAAGTAAAATATGTCATATAAATATATAAATAAATATCATGCTTAATTATATTCTTTATATAAAAAATTTATAATAAAAGGAAAAAACAATTGTAGGCAAAGATATATATCAAATTAATCAGTAATAATATCATCCAGCTATTGTCGACCAGTGTTTTTATTATAAGAAACTATTGGTTCTTACCCTACATAATAATTATAATTATTTTATTTTTGATTTATTTTCTAATTGCAATTTGCAAAAAATAAAATATACTGTCAATCATGTGGGAAAACAAATTGAGAAATTTAGTTGCATTAATTGTAACAAGTTGAGATCATGTCTATTGATTTTGCACCACTAATGTAAGATAAGAATATGTTGGTGAAACAAACAGAAAATGTTCTAACACGTACTAAAGGTGGATTCAGAATTTTAAAGTTAAAAAAATTTTATATATGGATTTTAAATTTGTAATACAATAATAAATAAGTTTACAATTAAATATTTAATAATTATTATTTAAAAAATATATAAAATAACAGATAAATTGCAAATAGATTGAGAAGCTTGTTGGGCTTAAACTCTGTTAATCGCTCAGTCAAAAAAAATTTTTTTAAAAAAATAAATAAATAATATATATATATACACACTAAATTATACATTACATATAAATATAAAGGCATAAACACAAATATGCCTTCTAATTTAGCCTCATTTCATATTTATGTCCTTCAACTTTGGGCATGAACAAGCAGACATTTAAACTTATATAAACTTGAACAAGTAGACACACGAGTCTTACGTGTCCTACGATACCACGTAGGATAAAAATGACATATAGGACGTCAAGACGTGTGTGTCTATTTGTTCAACTTTATGCAAGTTTAAGTGTCTACATTGGCAAACTCAAAATTGAAAGACATAAATGTAATTTGAAATCAAGTTAAACGACATATTGATGTATTATGTCAAATATAAATATAAATTTTCTCGAAATTGAGGCTTCAAATTCAAACCTCTAATTAATATACTAAACTATTGTCAAACTAACATTTTTAAAATCCAGTTCATATCAAATACTCTCTCCGTCTCATATTATAAGTCACGTGTTTTATTTGCACTTGCATTAAAAAATAAGATAATTTTACTTCGATTCCCTCCTCTAATTAGTTGTTGATTTTCAATACTAGCTAAAGTAAATATATTTTTAAAATTAATTAATTAATTAATAAAAATATAATAAACAAAATATGATTTTTTATACAGAAATTTTAACATATATCATAGTTCAATTATTTTTTTAAAAAATGACTTATAATATGAGACGGAAATAAGAGCATTAATAGCACAAATAGATAAGATTGAAGCATGTGACAAACTAATTAATAACATGTCCTACATTGAAATCTTTGCATCATAATTCTAGACTTGCTAATATTTTATTCATCAATTACAGCTGTCAAATCACATGGCGTAATTTAATGTAATAGTTTATTGCATAAAACTAACAAATTTGTTTTATCTCTGTTCCAATATCGTCTATGGATTAAAATATTTTGATGTTTATGTTAAATTAATAAATATCGTAAATTTTTAGCCAATTTGTCTGTCCTTTATTAGAAATTTCAGTTCATGTCTTAGGAATGGAAATACCTAGTAGGCAACTATTCTGTCTAAAATGGATCTTACGTGATATATTTTTAAATTAGTCAGGCTATTTAGTTTTAAATACGAGATGATTAACTTAAAAAAGAAAAAATCGAAAATCATTTAAACATCAACTTATGCTATGACATTAGGTTAAAAGAAAGAAAGAAGCTATTATAAAACTCGTACTCTTACCATAATTTATCCAGGCATAATACATAAATATGTTTTTTAACTTGGTTTTAAATTACATTTATGTCCTTCAATTTTGAGTGTGCACAAGTAGACACTTAAATATGTATAAAGTTGAATAAATAGACACACATGTCTTATATGTCATCCTACATGTCATTTTTTGTCTTACGTGGTGTACTACGTGTATTTTGCCATGTAGGACTCATGTGTTTATTTATTTAAAAGTTGAATAGTTAAAATGTCTGTTTGTGTATTATGAAAGTTGAAGGTCAAAGTTAAAATCTAAAACCAAATTTAGTGTCTAATATATATATTATGTCATTTATCTAAATGGCTACAAAAGCATGTCATCAAGGGTAAAATAAAAGTTTTTAAAGTTACATTGTCACCACATATAAAACAGCATCATTTTCTTTAATTGACAGAGTAAAGAAATAGTACCACATAAAATAGAACAATCAGAGACCCCTAATCTCCCAAATACACAACAAAAGGAGATGATGAGTTGGGACTATTTATCAATGTGTGTTATCTTTGCTCTGGGGTCATATAATTTTCTCTCTGTCGTTCCAATTTTATCGGATATCCCCTGACGGATGGGTGAGTTGAGACAAGTGGCTATTGAACCTAAAAGAAAAAGAAAAGAAAAAAGAACTTGCTATATATATAAATGTAAAGCTCACACTACAGTTTTGAAATAAAACATTCCATATAGTAATATGGCCTCCAATCAAGAAATCATAGTAGTTGTTGTCCCTTTTCCAGCACAAGGCCATCTAAATCAACTTCTTCAACTATGTAAACTCATCGCATCACACAACATACAAGTCCATTATGTTACAACCATGACACACACTAATCAAGCAAAAACAAGAGTTCATGATCCATATTCATTCATCAACAACAACAACATCCATTTTCATGAACTCTCAACGCCATTCTTCAACTCCCCTCCTCCCAACCCGAATTCCACGATCAAATTCCCAAGCCATCTCCAACCCTCTTTCGAGTCATCTTCTCATCTACGTAAGCCTTTATCCAAACTCCTAAGCGTCCTCTCGTCTAAAGCAAAGAGGATTGTCATCATCCATGACTCACTAATGGGATATGTAGTTCAAGATTTTGTGTATTTGCCTAATGCTGAGGCTTATGCTTTCCATAGTGTCTCAGCATTCACATTGTTCTTGTTCATATGGGAGAATATGGGAAGGCCTTTTGATATTGATGCAAATTTTCTAAAAGATGTTCCATCACTTGAAGATTGTTTTAGCCCTGAATTTGAGAAATTCATTAAATTACAACATGATTATATGAAGTTCAATTCAGGGAGGATTTACAACACCTGTAGAGTTATAGAAGGTCCTTTTCTTGATTTGTTGTCAAAGGAACAAATAAGTAATAACAAGATGCAATGGGCCCTTGGACCATTCAATCCTGTTTTAGTACAACAATATGGGACCAAAAGCTGTCACAAGCAACATAAATCTCTAATATGGCTCGACGAACACGAGCCTAATTCGGTTGTGTTCGTCTCATTTGGGACCACGACTTCATTTTCTGACGAACAAATCAAGGAGATTGCAATTGGATTGGAGGAGAGCGAGGTAAAGTTCGTTTGGGTGCTGAGGGACGCGGATAAAGGGAATGTTTTCGCGAAGGACCACCAATCAAGAAAGATTGAATTGCCAAAAGGGTTCGAGGAGAGAGTCAAAGATAAGGGGATTGTGTTGAGAGACTGGGCGCCTCAGTTGGAAATCTTGGCACATTCTTCTGTTGGTGGTTTTATGAGTCATTGTGGATGGAATTCATGCATGGAGAGCATTTCCATGGGGGTGCCAATAGCCGCGTGGCCAATGCATTCGGATCAACCCCGAAACACCGTATTGGTCACCAAGATTTTAAAAGTTGGCTTAGTCGTTAAGGAGTGGACACGTAGGCACGAGGTGGTGACACGTGGCATGGTGCAAGCAGCAGTTGAAAAATTAATGGTGTCTAAAGAAGGAGAAGAAATGAGGAACAGAGCAATGGATTTGAGTGGAGCTCTTAAGAAATCAGTAGCAGAAAGTGGCATTAAGAATATGGAGTTGGATTCATTCATTTCTCACATAACAAGGAAAATTTGATCAATCAGCTATGTTATTTGAATTCTTTAAAAATGTCAACTGAAAACATGTTAGATCTTCTAAAAATTAGTGCATAAGAATCTGACGTAGATGCGACGATATTTTTGCAAAGTTCAAGCAACATATGCATCATCTTCATTCAATCGCTGTCATTGTGTGCCACAAGGGCCCTAATTTATATATATTTAGTAGTGCATGTTTCAAAATAACTAATATCAAGGCGCTTATGTGTAGTTAGTATCTTTTAGATGATCTGATTGACTAATTTTGCACGGTCATTTATATAACGTGAAATCATCTAAAATCAACGGTCAAGATCTTTCCATGTGTCATCAAACTCAGAGAAGTAACATTTCGGTCCCATAAGTTGTTGGATAAGAAGTTTAACAGGTTTTGGATAATTATTTTATATCAATGATTGATTATGCAAATGGATTTATATAAATTAATTAGTTCATATGAGAGCAACTATGTTGGACTAGTAAAATAGATTCATGGACTATATATTTTATGACCAAATTCATGTTTTTACCTATTCAAGAAAAGGACATCCTCAACATGATCTCCAACTTGTCCTATGTACATTGTCTCCACTTACAGGCTACAACAGCCCATTCTACTAAGTCAGCTAAGAATCAACTTCAAAATTTTGAGATAAGGAGTTCTGACTTTTTAGTAAAGACGATTTATTAGGTTCTAAATAAAGTATATGTACATATTAAGTGAATTTCATCACACAAAATACGATATTTAAGAAAGAACGAAAACAACGAATAAATGAATGAACTAATCAGTGGCAATTTGAAAAAAGGTCATGAAGTAGTTGTAGTGATTGTTCAACCTTCAAGCTTAAGGTCATTTAAGGCGTTGGCTCGAGCCCTGTCCAAACTCCAAAGGACTTACAATCGTCAAGCTAGGCTCAAGCCAACGTCGACAAGATTCACTTTTATGACCTCCCAAGTAGTCCTGATTTTACCTCAGGCAAAATCCTGGTGATCTGGAATGCTTGCATGCTTCTTCGCGAGTCCATTGCAAACAACTGGGGAATGTGAACAGGATCTACAAACAAAATCTTTTATCATAAACAGTACCATGTTTAAGGTCATAAAGAAACAACAAAATTTAACAAATGCAAACAATTGAGGAATGTGAACAGCATTTTATGAGAAAAAAACTAGGTACATAACCAAGATTCAATAATTCATGCATGACTCCAAAACTCTGATACAATACTTCTGACCACACACTTTTCTTTCATCGCATGAACTTTGTGGTCCTTATGTCTTTTAAAAAGTTTAAAGGTAAATAACCAGATTCAATAATCCAAACGTGTTTAATGAAGCCTACCCTCCTCTCACCTTCACACATCTTCAAAGGTTTAAACTTGCTATTCTATCCTCTTCTTACATATTTACGTACACACTCGCACACTCACACATGATTCAAGTAACTCAAAAGCAGTAGTGAGTTGAATTGAATTTTCTATAACTTCGACAAAGGTAACGGCTTTTTTATGGATCGTGAAGTAGTTATAGTCATGGTTCCTTTTCCAATTCAAGGCCATCTCAATCAGCTTCTTCAACTAGCCTGTTTACTCTCCTCAACATACGATCTTCCTGTCTATTATGTTGTCTCAGCCACACATAACCAACAAGCTCGGTTCCATGACATTCCGACTCATGAATTAGCCTTACCTCCACCTGACTTTAATGCCTTGAGCAAAATCAGCCATTATGGGATGTAACTTTGCTTCTTCGCGAGCCCAGTACTTCCTTTTTACGTGATATCTCCTCAAAATCAAGACGACTCATTGTTGTTCATGACTTTTTTATGTCATATAGTGTTCAGGATGTTTCTTCCTTGCTCAATGCTGAATCCTATAGATTTAATTGCATTTCAGCTTTCACTTTGTACTGTTCTTCATACTTATTTAGTGGAATGTTTGTCCAACTTGGAGAAAAATTGCTTAAAAAGCTACCGTCCCTTGAAGGAGCAATGCCTGATGAAGTCAAGAACTTTATAGCTCTTCAGAGTCCATATATGGATATTAGAACAGGTGATATCCATAATACAAGTAAAATAATTGAACATGGGTTTCTTGATTTGCTGGCACAAGTAGAAAGTAAACAACAATGGGCAATCAATCCAACTCTGCCAACTAAACTCAATCATATCTCGAATAGGAACAATATATGTTTGGAATGGCTAGAAAAACAACCTCGGAGATCAATTCTTTATATATCATTTGGAACATCAACTACATTTTCCGATGGAGAAGTCATGGAGTTCGTGATTGGATTAGAACGAAGCAAATAGAAGTTCATATGGGTGTTGAGAGAAACCGATAAGAGTAGATATCTTTACTGGGGAAGCTAGAAAACATGTGTTTCCTGAAGGATTTGAGGAAAGAGTAAAAGGGGTTGGGTTACTGGTAAGAGAATGGGCGCCACAACCCGATATCTTGCCTCATTCGTCCACAGGTGGGTTCATGAGTCATTGCGGATGGAATTCTTGCATAGAGAGCATTACTATGGGGGTGCCTATAGCTGCTTGGCCTATGCGCTCTGATCAACCGGTAAATAGTTTCTTGGTAATGGAAATATTGAAAATAGGCCTGTTTGTGAGGGAGAGGGAGAAACTTGAGGAGCTAGTAAGTGCATCCACTATTGAGAATGTCGTGAGGAAGTTGATGGCATTTGAAGACGGTGATGCAATTAGGAAAAGAGCAGAAGAATTGGGAGAAGCTGTAAGGCGTTCCACAGAAAAAGGAGGTGCTTCTCGAATGGAGTTGGACTCTTTAATCGCACATCACAAGATAAGAGTAGCTTTTCACCAGAAATGTATTTCTTTGATATTAAAAAGTTCAGTATCTGAAACTTTTTATGGCTATCACTTATCAGTGAGATTATTGTTTGTACTTCTCTCTTAATGATGTTGTTTACATTTCTCAGTTTTTTGCGTATGCTCAGTTGGATGATCTAGATGACCTACATTAGACTGTTTTATGACAAAAGACTTGGTTCATAGACTCCTATGTTCATCGAAAGGTTCATTATGAGACAGTTTTGATATTTGTCTTGGATTATTGGGTCTTAAATTCGTCGTAACATTAGCAATCATGTCAAGTATCGATAGATCACAGAGTTATCTGGCAGCTTTGTTGGTGGGAGGTAGCAGTTGCCCCGTGGAATTAGTCAAGATGCATGTAAGGTGGGAGCGGATTGTCTTGTTTTAAGTCCATACTAGTAGTTGTAGTATTGCTCATTTAGTTTTGTGTCCTCCGATATATGTTATTTATTTGTTATTTCTTATACTTCGACTATTATATTATTTTATTGTAGTTACTACCCTATTACTATTTGTTGTTGTTTTTACTATCTGCTGCTTCTTGTACTTTTGGACTGCTTTGGACTATCTTTCCCTTGAATTGAGGGTCTATCGTTAACAGTTTCTCTATTTCCAAGGTAGGGTAAGGTCTACATACACTCTACCCTTCCTAGAGCTCTAGTTGTTGTACTTTCTTTGAACAGTTAAAAGATTTCCTTATAAAACAAAGCTGTTTAGTATTGTGTTGGTTCATTATTAATTGGCTGGTTTTATGTTAGTTCAATCCTACCACAACCTTCTTCTTTTTATCTGATTTGGGACCGGGAATGTGAGTAAGCTCACACAAGCGGTGAGGATTTGTATAGTTAACTTTTAACTTATTTGAGACTGTGACCTAGTTGTTGTTGTACTAAAACAAACTAGGGTATAGAAAGTATGTACAAGTTTTTATGAAAACCTATATCATCCATGCTAATAGCATAATGCAAGTGCCAAACTCAATTCCTTGTTCAACTTACTGGAGTTTCCTCCCTCAAAAAGTTAAAAGCTATTGCAATTAAAAATTTCCTTCTATTCCTTCTAACAGCTGTAAAAATTGAACAACGATCCTTGCTATTACAGGCAACGGAAAATCACCTATAGGTAGAAGGGAAAAAGAAAATGGACCAATTAAAGTTTGATCCAGACCTGTTAGACGACTAGCTAACTATCACCAGAACGTCATGCCAGCTTGCTGTAATCACTTGCCTGACACGCGATGCAGAGTCAATGAATCATGGTATAAGACCTTTTGGTTGGTGGATGTTTCTCCCTCGACTAAATTCCCGAATCAAGACAATCTTCAATACATCTTTCATGGCTGAAAATCACAAGTTCTTGCACACACCTAAGTCAGAAGATGAAACCTTACCAATTGTCGAGTCATTTAAGAATTTTTAGCTGGAGGTAATCAATATTGAAATGAAGAGGCATAAGAGAGCATATATCAAACTCAAAGATCAACACTAGTGTGGGAATAAGCAATAAGACATGACAACGCGTGGAGAATCTAGAAACTTACAAGAAAAGATAAAGAGTTGAAACCTGTCAACGTCATCCTTTGTGGGCAAAACTGATGCGAATATTTCTTCCATCCAATAACTAAGGAACATAAAAAACAAAAGCTGTAAGACACCAACAAGAACGACAGACCAAAGGAGTCCAGAAAAAGAAGTAGTGGATGTACAAGAAACAAAAGATAATAATAAAACCAGTAGATAGTAACAAAACAGAAACTGCAACAAAACAACATGATACTCCAGGAAACAAAAACTGCTAGATATATATAAGAATATAGGTAGCGTTTATACAACTTGTACACTTACTTGACCATCCATTTCCTTCAAGGCCTTGCTAGCTGCAGTTTCTGAAGTGAACTTCACAAACCCATATCCTTTGGATTTTCCACTTTTATGATCACATATTACTTTCACTGTAAGTGGATAAGCATATACTTTCATCTAAAAGAAGTCACAAGAACAAAGAGAAGTGTTGTCATCCACACGTTACCTTCAATTGTTTCACCATGTTGCTCAAAAGCTTGTTTAAGCACAGGTTCATTCGTATCATAACAAAGCCCTGAAAGCAACATATTTTGCTTTAACAGATATTGTAACCTAATTGTTTAACCAAAGTCTGGTATTTAAGTGGAAAAAGGCAGAGGAATGGACCTCATTATTTTTACATCTCGACACTGAAACAACAGATGATTTCTGGATTGGTTAAAAACACAACTTTTACACCATGAGTAAAGTGAGAGTGAGAATTCATTAATATGAAAAGACCATAGATTTTCAAGAACGCAACTATTACATCAACATCCAAGAAGAAATCAACTAAGCACAGAGAGACACGAGAGGCAATCTTTAGCTTTGCGTGCATCAGAGTAGTTAAAAGGACTCATCTAAGCTAAAATATTTAGCAAAGGACAGGAAAATCTCTGCATTGACGACATACACTATCACGGTGCTTCAAACTCTAACTCGACAAAAAGCAGAGATAATTATCGATATCAACTCTCATTTTACATTCCACATTGCTGCCTTATTAGATATACTGCTGAAGTATAGCTCATCCAAGTATTCAAAAGAATCTTTTCTGGAAAGTGTAATATGACTATCTAAACACGTAACAAAACTTCTATCTGAACACATAACAACATTTCAATCTAAACACGTAACTGCTTGTACAAAAACTCAGCTCCCACCTAGTAAATAAAAGCTACTTAAATTCAGCTAAACAAGCGGGCTCCAACTTTACTTAGCAGTCTTAAATCTTCCAAGAACCTCTAAAACAGAATCCTAGACAACAATTTATCATTGTTGGAAAGAAACATACCCAAATAGAGCTAAATAAATATAGGCAATTCATACAGTCAGATCCCCAACTAGAACTGTTCAATTAATATGCCAATATGATTAAAAATTTGAAATTTTTCAAGAAAAGGTAATACATAACATTCAAGCTGAATATAAGGAATACAAAACTAAACATTTAACCATATTTTTTCACTGAAACTAAATGCCCATACTATATAACCCTTCATTCTTAACCAGAGCTCTCGGGTTCAACCTGCTATGAACTCGCAGAATTAGTGGAACCCCAATACAGATACCAAACACCGGGCGAGAAAGCCCAAAATAACTATATGCCAATCATGATATACAAGTAAAGAAACAGAATCATAGTATCACTACAGACCTCCAATGAACAATTTGCTGCAAGAATGGCGAGAAGTGACAAATCTAGCAAGTGGGGTTTGATAATTTAGGAAGAATTCATTGAAACGTTGCATTGAAAGCCACTACAGAGAAAAAAAAAATCTTGTTTTTAGCTTGTGTTCTTGAATTGTTGAAGCTCTTTTTCAGGTGTTCAAAATAAGTGTGTTCTATTTTTTTGCGTTTTTCGGGTCAATGAATTGGGCCTTTAAAATTGGATCTAAAGAGACATCCATTATGTCATTTTGTAGGTCCACTTACAATAATAAGCCCATGGAAATGTTTGTGGGTAAAAATATAACGAACTTCTAAAATTGACTATAGTTTGGGCTTAATTAGAGGTTTATAGTTATAGTTTCTTAATTACGATTTATAGCTACACGCTAAAAGTGTGTGTGATTGGATAAGAGAGAGGCGAAAGAAAGGATGAATAAATGTTGTATTTGTTGTATCAGATTGTATCACAAATACAATTGTTTTATATCAATGAATACAACTTGTGTATTCATGCATTTGAGTGTAACTACAACTAGCTATAGATTAGTATCAATATTTTAAATTGTATTTTGTCCTTGTTATACATTTGTATTGATCATGTGTTGTATACTATTTCAAAATACGGTTGATACAATATTGTATCATTGTATTAATAGTGTATCTCTTCCTCATTCATATAAAACTATAAATTATAAAACTATAAATTATAGCTATTTATATTAAATGCATAGCACATGTGTGTCTTACCGTGTAACTTTTTCTTTAGAAATACTAATGATAATTTATTTGGTTGACGTTATTTAACATGTCTCAATTTTTAATTTTTTTTTAAATATTTCGATCCACTTTGATATTCAGTATTCGATATTTGTTAATACAATAAATTCAAAATCACATAACAAGGGAAGTTTCAATTTTTTTAGACTTTTCCTAGAAGCTCTAGACTAATTTGTCCTAGTTGAAAATTTCCTTTTTGTATCTTTATGTGTTTTCGTTTGGAATATTATTCTCCTAACTTTTAATGGCTTTTATTAGATAATAATAATATGGACATTTTGAACAATACGTGAAGAAATGCAATACTTCAATTGTTCCATGATTGAAATTTGGCTATTCTTGACTTAAAAATTGAATGTCACAAAAATAAGACCAATTGATGAGTAGTTTCATCACATGTAAATATGCCAAAGCCATCATGTGACTTTTTGTCACCCAATGGTCCAACTTCAAGAAATGGGCTTTGTCACTGTCATAAGATTAAAGTTACCAAAAAAATTTAATTTAAAGAAGGTGGGTTTTGGTTGGGGGGGGGGGGGTGTTGAGGGGGCACACACTAAATAGTAAATAGGCAATTTGTTTTATGGATTTGAGCTTTAAGAATACGGTCGTTCTTCTAATATTTTACCTTTAAAGTGAGATTTTTCAATAAATCCTTGATACAAGCGTGTTTTCAAGTGATCAAGTTTATGAAAAGATAGAATGTACACGAAAATATATCTTTTTATTAGGAATAGAGATCGTTTCTAATAAATTTTTTATTCAAAAATAATATTTTATAAAATATATAAAATAATATTTCATGAATTCGCGTATATATTTCATGAATTCGCGTATAGATTATACTAACCTTAATAAAGCATATTACTTGGGATTTCTTATAAACTTTGCTAAATATATATTATTAGATCCTTTGAAGGATACGTATTTTTAAGGAATTTGCTAGGAGTGAGATAATAATTTTAAAGCATTCAAGCAACACAATTAATGATACTATTTTTTGGGTTTTTTTTATTGAACTCTGGATAAGTATTATTTGAACTTTATAACACATAGTCTCTGAAGGGGGCGGATCTAGAGTATGTCGAGGGAGTTTATCCGAACTCTTTCGATAAAAAACTACGTTGTATATTTAAGGTAACCTCCTGAATATAATATTAAAGGTTGACTTAGAGATTTAATGATTAAAATCATTATTTTCTTTTTTTCGAACCCCTTAATGAAAATCATAAATCCACCAACTACAAATAGATATAGAAAGTTTTAATATAGAAAATTATATAGTAAGTATAATGCTGCGATTCTTTATATTTTTTCTAAAAAAACACTATTGTCCCTTCGTACCAAACATTATTTAAATTTTATTTTTAATTAAAAATTTTAAACTCGAATTTTCTTGAATGAAAGCATTCTATCGAAAAAAATTGTCTTCCCAATTCCTATATTACATAAATTTAATTTGATCAGACATTTAAATATCAGAAGAAAAAGAAAGTCAAGTGTATACTTCAACGGCTCTTTCTATAGATTGCTTCTCACTGAGGTTTGCTGACAAAAATCTGACACCTTTTTTAGTTCTTTTTTAATTCCTTCTTAGAGCATTATATATATAAAAAGAAATTAAAAAATGATTGTTCATTTATAATTTTAACAGTTATAAATTAGTTGAAAATATTTATTGCATTATGCATCCATTAGTATTGTATTATTAGTTTATTATTTTTCGGCGAATCGAATTCTCTATTTGAGATTTCTATTAGTTTGCTATTAATATTATGAATTATGTGTATGTTGTCTGTTTTTTTTTAATTTTGATGTTAAGTATTTATATGTGAGCTTAATTAATTTATATCTGTGTATTATATTGCGGAATTTATTTTTTTAGATAACGTTTTTAATACAACAAAAAATTTCATGCTATTTAATCACAATTACGTCGATCTTCTAATGATTTTACATTATAAAATTAATTTTCTTCGAGCAAAATCTCGAACTCAAATGTTCTATTTATATTTATAAAATAAAAGAATTTTATTATCCTACTGTACTATTTATACCCTTCGATGAACCATTCATAAATTAGATATGGACTAATTAAATAAATCTATAGTTGATTTAATTTTTTGCCTAAAATTAGATAGAGGCTACTGCTTGTGCTATAAAATAAATTCAATATCAAATGTCCCAATCACCATTTTCTACCGTCTCAAAATATTTGATATGTTATGCTTTTTGTTAACTGAAAAGGGCCTAAAAAATTTTAAATGTATTGAAAATGATATAAAATTATCATTCATCCACCTATTGGCTCTAAAATGCCCTTCTCATCTACCTATTGGCTCCAAAATACCTTTGTCATCTACTTTTGGGTTCAAAACTGACCACTTATTTATTATTTTAAAATTAAACTCTTTAAATATTTTTTAAAATACTTAGCGTTCAACTATTGGTTATAATCTAATTTATTAACATAATTTATAAATCAACCCACTATCCACTCATTACTAACTAATCGTCACCCAATTAATAATCCAATTATAGTATCAAAATCGTCATAAATGCTACTAAAACACGATAAAATTATAGATTCTTGAAAATGGCATTCGAAATTATTCGAGTCCAAATCGAAATCCCAATTATATTTAGGTTGAGTCGCTTATTTAGGACGATACTTTTAATAGGATTCTCTTTCAAGATTGAATTAGAAATTTATGATTAAAGATAAAGAATTAATACATCCTGAATTAATTCATGCACCTTTTTTAAATATAATTTTATAATTTTTTATGATTTGTTTTAAAACCTTTAATATATTATTTTGAAAATTTTTTACCTATGAAGTAACATCACATAATTAAGACGTAAGGATAGTTAAGAAGAACATAGTCAGACTTTTACGTTTATGGATAATTTTTATTTAGAAATTTGAATGTATGATAGTTTACTTCTATCGATATTTTCACCTCAAATTTTTCAAACTCTCAATTGGTGGTCAATTTTGAACCAAAAGGTGGATGACAAGGATATTAGAGCCAATAGGTGGATGAGATGGGTATTTTGGAGCCAATAGGTAGATGAAGGATAATTTTGTACCATATCCAATACTTTCAAGGTATTTTAGATCCTTTTCCGTTTTGATAATATATATATATATATATATATATATATATATATATATATATATATATATATATACTTTTTGAATAATTTTTTAATTTTTTATTTAATATATTAAATTAATATAATGTAAATTTACTTGAAAATTATTTGGATAGTATTTTACTTTATTTTTTAGTGGGAGGTGTAATTGGAGTAAAAACACAACAAGTTTGTCTAATTTAATTCTATCTCTTCATTTAATTCTAGTTGACTTAATCTTTTTTCATCATCACTCTATTTTATTTTGTTTCCCCTTTTATAATTACAGGTTTGACAAACTTAATTTCTATCTCTTCATTTAATTCCAATTGACTTTGATTTACCGAGTAAGCTACATATTTATTGTGGAGGCAAAGCTATAACCTTTTTTGTTTTATTTCGACTTTTTCTAATATAATACTTAAATTCAATATTCATATTTTACATTCATATATATATATATATATATATATATATATATATATATATATATATATATTATT